TACTGTTGGGGACACCAGGGGACACACTGCTAGTGGAGGTGTGTGTAGACTGTGCTGCCCGGTGGGGCACAGAGAAACCAAGTTCTTTGGGTGAACATTGCTAGGCCTTCGAGAGGCACCAGACCGAGTCCTCGCTCTGTCAGCGAATTGCAAATCAATCTGTCCAAAACACAATAAGGGTCCTACTAATTAGATATTTGGGATTATGTTAACACCGGTTTGATACCTTCTACAATTAAGATCGAATTGCGTAACTGATCTAGCCAACTTTTTAGTATAGGTGTTTAGTTTCTCAAGTTTGACTAGAGAAATTTGTAGAACGTTATAGGTCTCACCAGTGTTTCAGTTCACACGGACTCTTGCCGTACAGCATCACCCGAGTGAGTTCTGAGGGACAAAAAACCCTACAGAAATTGCAGAGCCGGGGAAGCCTGTCTTTGGGCTCCTCCCACCCTCTCCGTGTTTTCCCCTCCCATCATCTCTTTGCATTATTATTTTTTTTTTGAACACAACTGGATCTACACTCTGGAGCACTTCTTACCATCTCTCCTCTTGTGTGTTTATTATCTCTCTTCCACCATAAGAATGTAAGCAAAGTTCCCAAACTTATTTGGGGTTCAGGTGACCGTACATAAGGCAGTCACAGAGTAAGATATGAATATGCTTGAAGGAGGGGCTATAGAACCTAAATTAGAGCTATTTGAAGATCCCTACATTTCTCTCTCAAGTCCTGACCTGTCCTCCAAATTCCAGACTTGGAATGTGAACTGCCTACCCACACTTGCACGTGGCCAGTGTCCACCAGGGGCCCTTCAGTCACCCTGGCCCCTCCACTGCCCCCTCTCCTACCCTTTCCTGCAGCATGTCACTTCTCTGCAAACATCACCATTTCTGTTGCCCAGGCCAACCTATAGCCAAGCGACAGGATACAGCTCGTTTTTCTCTTGCATTTACGAGCAAATCCTACTATCTCTGCCTTCAGACTGTATCCAGAATCCAAATCCTCCTCATCACCTTCTCCACTAACACCTTCAACCTGAATTTAAGTCTGAACTATTCCAGTAGCCTTACGACTGGTCTCCCTTCGTCCACAAACACTCTATTCCCTAAGGACTGAGAATGAAGTCTCCAAAATCTGAGAGCGAGCACTCATCCACCTGTTCAAAACCCTTCCATGGCTTCCATCTCCCATCCTTACCATGGTCTGCAGGGTTCTCCATGCCCTGGGCCCTCATGATACCCCTGGCTTCATTGCTACCACCCACCCTCCATGCTCCCCCGCCCCAGGCTTGCTGACCATCTCACCACTTCTGGGACATGCCAAGCCCACAGCGATCCCACAGTCTCTGCCACTGCTTGGGACCCTGCCTCTATGAATCCCTTTGGTTCTCCAGGTCTGTGCTCAAATGCCACTTTCCCAGAGACACCTGCCATAACCCCCCTCCGCCCATATATATAATGCCCGCCTCAGTATTTCCTTTACCCTTCGAAAGTTTTTTTTCTTCAGAGCACTTCTCACCATCTCTCATCTTACATGTTTATTATCTCTTTCCCACCATGAGAATGTAAGCTCAGAAAACCAGGACCATTATGGGGAGAATGTGATTCAGAGTCAGGAAATTCAGTCATGGGGTGGAACCTACAGAGATCCCACCTGCACAATGGCATCTTGTGGCCCCACACAGGGTAGTTAGGGGAAAGGATGAATATTACAGATGACTAAAGTCAATATATTTTTTTTCCCTTAGGAAATCCAGACAGGTAGTCAACTTTACCAACTTTTACCACTTAGGCAGCTTTATCCACGTTAGCCCTTAGGCGGCTGTGGAAACCTAGCCGTTGTGGACGAGAGCACGAAAGAAAATCAAAGAGTGGAACAAGTCAGTGCTTTATAACTTGAACAATAGAAACTATAATCATCACTTGCTAATTGCTCCCCTATCATTCTATTTCAGCATTACATAAATTAATATTGCCACATGTTCATACTAAACACCATTATTTGCCTTTGTTGTATTCTCATGTGAAACCAGACAGACATCATGATCAGACTTTGGACTCTGATCATGGGCATTGATTGCAAACAGTGCTGACGTAAGTCCGTGAAATTTGGAGTCACCACCACTACTCAGGATCTGAATCTTCAATCCTATAAATGTGACCGAACAGCTGCCACCTCTCCTAGGCATAACGAAAAGGTTACTTTCTTGGCGGTAACAGGTTTCCCTACTTAGTTGTAGGCGTGGCTGATTTCCTATGGTGCATTTAATTTCCTTTAGTTTTGTTAAGATTTTGAATAATGACGTACTGCCTTACACAATTAACACATGCATTTGAACGATTTGTCTTCGGTTTCTTTCCAGAATGGTGTTCCAAATCATCGGAGGAGCCAGCAGATTGGAGTGTAGGATATTTCTGAGCAGGGTCTTACAGTAAATCTCAAAGCATGCCACCGGTCTGCTAGCTAGCCTCTGACGCTACAGTTGGTCTATACTTGGCTTTTACCAATACACTGAGCTGACGGAGTGCAGAATAATGGCAGGTTGAGCAAACTTAATGTTTCTCTCTCCCTATTTAAATTTGTTTTAGGCTCTTTTCTATCTCGTCAGCACCCAGAACTTGTAAACTAAAATTTGCACAGAAGTAATTTCAAACAGCTGTAAGTACTGTAGCCCCGCCCCCTCCTTATCTGTGTGTTGCTTTCCGTCAATTCAGTTACAGGGTCCACCGCCTTCTGGAAGCAGGTGTCCCTCCTTGTGACGTAGCCTCTGGTCAATAGTCGCCTAATGTTACGTCACAGGCCTGCGTCATTCTCCTCACTTCGTCTCGTTGGGTGGGCATTTTCTCATCTCACCTCAGCCCCAGAAGGGTGAGTGCAGGGCAATAAGATATTTTGAGAGAGAGAGAGAGAGACCACATTCACATAACTTTTATTACAATATGTTGTTATAACTGTTCTATTTTATTACTGTTGTTAATTTCTTTCTGTGCCTCATTTAGAAATTAAACTTTATCATAGATGTGTACATATAGGGAAAAATATAGTATATATAAGGTTGGGGACTGTCTGCGGTTTCAGGCATCCACGGCAGGTCTGGGATTGTGTCCCCTGAGGATGAGGGGGGAATGTCTGTAATGCCATCTTGCTGTCTCTGTGTCGCAAATCATTTTAAACTTTCACTTAGAAGTCATTTTCAGAGCACATGACTCCATGAAAAGATAAGGAATTGCGGTTTGGGACCACAATTTAAAGGCTTGTAAATCATCATTTAAAAAATAATCTGCTTTACAGTGGCGTTTTTCATGATGGGTTTTAGGAAATTATCAGTGTTTTCTAGTATATCTACAAGAGTTTGTTTGCAAATAAAAACACATTTATTTTACTTAACCATTAGCTTTATACCACTTTTGGAAAGCATGCCTACCTAATTTGAGAGAGCAATACTAAGAGTAAAAGGGGGTGTCATGAATATTTATGCTGACTTCACAGGGATAAAGAGGGATTATCCCAGGCAATAATGCAAAACGGGGATGATTTAACAAAATTCATTCTGTTTTAATACTAACTTAGTCTCTAGCAATTTACAGCTTTTTTCTCCAAGAATTATTCCTGCATTCTGAGAAAGAGATAACAAAGTTGTGAAAAGGCATGTAACAAGGTCAAAGGGACAGATGTAAAACAAAATAATGTAACTTTTCAGGTTAAGGAAGAAAAATTTTAAATGCAAAAGAATGAAGGCAGAAAAAATGGGACTGACATTTTAAAATCAGAAAAAGCGTTGGTAACGTTAACTACTTTTTTCCTAAACCCTAATTTACCAGGATTAAAAGGCACTCCATTGAATTTAAAAACAATTTTTTTTTCATAACAGTAGATTAAAAACGATTTTATTTAATGAGTAGGAAATTTCCGGGCTCAACAATTTAAAATGCAAAAGACGGAAAATGTAGACAGAATCAAAATCCTTGGGAAGTATGCATGAGTGACAGCTTCATTCATGTTTCCCTCTCTTGGCTATGAATGGATTAAGGACACAGCTCAGAGGTAATAAATGAAAACTAAGTGCTCAATAGATAAATGAGAAATACTAACTGCTCAGTAAATGTTTCTGGGATATGTAATAGAATATTTTTTTTTAAAAGACTAGTCATGTTCACTCTACAATGTTCTATAATGCAAGTGCTGAAGAATACTGAGCAAACCAAAAGTCCATTATGTTTCTTTAGTCTGCTCAAAGTGAGGTTGCGTTTCTATATGCAAAACACAAGCCAGAGACCTAAAAGAAAGCAGTCTTCTTCCTCTTCAGAATAAATAGAAACAGACACGATTTCTTTATCATCAGGAGATTTTGTAGAAAAAGTATTTCAGGACTAATGTTATGATCCAACTTACGGGCTCTTGTCAAGAACCGTAGCATCACCTTCTGCCTTGTTTCCTGACGGAGCGATGGGACTGGTACCTGATAATGTCTACTGCGGGGACAGGCTAGTTGGTGATCCAGAGAGCAGACTTTGGGCCCAATCCAACTGGGTTAAAAGCTCATTCTACCATATCCACATGGATAACTTCAGGCAACATATCCTCTCTCTGAACCTACGAAGTTTCTTCCTCTATAAATAGGGATAACAGTGGTGCCAACCTCCTAGAGTTGTTGAAGGAGCCAATGATTAATATGCACAAAGCACTTAGAAGTAGGTCTGGCACATAATGCCACAAATGTTACTACTACTGCTATTAAAAAGCCAGTGTTCCTTTGATGGTGATACTTGTGACTAGTGGCTGCATGGTTTCAGATAGGGTTCCCTTTCTTGCCGTGGTCATTTGTTCAGATGAATTCTCTAGTCAGGTCTCCTCTTTTTATAAACTAATTATTTTAGGAATGTACTAAATCTTGGTTTGAAGACATGAAATAAATCCTTCTAAAGTCACATTTGTTTCTTTCCTGCACAGATGGCTGAGTAGAATCTGTGTTGATTGCACCTTTATTTTGTACATTAAGGCTCTAAGAACAGCGGCTTCCTGAGACTGACTGGGAAACTGTTTTGATTGACGGGTCTCACCAGCACACCAGACTGTGCAGGCAGATAAGAAGCCCACTGGGAGAAGATATCAGGGAAGGTAAGGATGCCATGATCCCTTTATATGAGAGAGCTGGGGAACTGGCTCTGGGAAGGGGAAACTGCAGAGCAGCAAAATGATCTTGATCACTAGTGACATTTAATTGCAATTAGGTTTTTAACAACAGCAAAAAAAGATTGTAAAACTCTTCGGTTTCTTTCACATCAAACGGCCCATGCTTGGAATATTGTCGTGTGCATTCTTCCTGCAACACCATCAAAAACAGGTTCACTGTATTTGCAACATACTGAGAAGAGTTAATGGCCAGTGCAGGGTTCTCCTGGCTTCAGAGTTCAAAGTTATCTGCTCCCAGATGCAGCCACACAAATTATTCCCTGAGAGTAATCTTCAGTGAGTTGCTAGGAGATGACCGGTTTATGTTTTCCTTTGATTATAGGGCATAACCGCCCCACTGTCAAAATGCCAAAAGTTAAAAAAAAAAAAAAAAAAAAGGCAGTGATTGCTTAAGAATAATGTTTTCCTGTTGCTTGCAGTGAGGTATTGAAACCTGGACTATTTTGCATACAAGGAGATCAAGGGAGCCAAAAAGATCTATGCGGTATAAGAATTGTTATCTGAGGGGCGACTGGGTGGCTCAGTCAGTTGAGCGTCTGACTTCAGCTCAGGTCATGATCTCGCAGTTGGTGAGTTCAAGTCCTGGGTCGGGCTCTGTGCTGATGCTGACAGCTCAGAGCCTGGAGCCTGCTTCGGATTCTGTGTCTCCCTCTCTTTCTGCCCCTCCCCCGCTTGTGCTCCCTCTCTCTCTCTCTCAAAAATAAACAAACATTAAAAAAGAAAAGAATTGTTACTAAGACCAATTACATGTCAATGGTAGTCAGCACGTGACCAATGCTTCCTACATATTTGTGTAATCAAACCAAGTCATGCGTTTTTAGCAGTTTCTTTAAAAAATAGTATTATGCATAGGTCTGGTGAATGGCTTATGGTTTAAAGGAAGTGCTTACACATATTGGTAGGCACCTGGCATGGGTCAAAAGAGGTAAAGGGCCAGCAACGGAGGAGTTTAATTAAGCTCAAACCTCTGGATAGAGGTAAAATAAAGAGAGAAAAGACTAACTTTTCTGGCCCCAACACCAGGGCTCATTTTGTTATGCCATACCATCTCCTGGACATACAGTTATGTGATATGCAATTGTTTTTCTGTGATAGCCAATATAGTGATTAAAAGTGACAACCCGGTTTTAAATAATAACTACTTACTGGCTGTGTGAATTGGACTGAATTACTTACATCCTCTGTGCCTCAGTTTCCATTCCTATAAAATGGGGGAAAATAATAGTATATACTTCTTAGGATCAATGTAGGAATTGACCTATATAATTACAGTGAAATAATATACGTAATATACTAGAAAATATTATTCTTAGCAAAGTGCCTGATACGCAAAAATGTTTAAGGGGCCATAAGATAAGCTATCATTTTCACTATGATTGTTAGTATTTTTAACATTATTTTACTGCATCCTGAACAAGTTTAACACCACCTGAGAGCTTGAGGATCAGGTATATGAAACCTGAAAAAGTTGAGAAGCCACAGGTTTAGATAAATAGGGGAAATGAACAAAAGCAGGAAAAACTCAAGGAAGCAAAGAGAAAGCTGAGGTTTTCTTAAGTCTGCTGTCTTGTTAGTTGTGGATTACCACCCTATTCTCAATAATTTGGTGTATATGCGCCTCAGGCTACCTAAGGCTGGCCACTTATTAAGCAGATCCTGTGAGCAAGGGCATCTATGTTTATGACACTTGAACCTCGTGTTTGCCTGGGTGTTGAGCAACAGAATGTACAGACCTCTGGGATTTGGGAGCTCTAGGTTCTGGTCGCTAACTGGGTGGGTGTCCTCAGGGATCTTTCTGCCTTTGTGGACTTCCATTTCCTCATTTGCAAATGAGGTAGTTGGACATTGTCTCTTTGATCTCCACATTTTTGTAATTTTATCATCTGTCTTTATAAGAGCCGTGTCTGCTCTAGTTTCCTTTGCAGGTGAGCTCTGGGCAAATCTGTCATGTGGGAACCCAGAGTTGCAAATCAGAAACAGTTAGATGACCTCCTTTTGCTCTATAAACGAGTAATACGCTCCATAAATGGATTATCAGATCCTGTTAAATAGCAAGAGCGCCCAATGACTCTAAAATAGAACCTGGTTTACAATAAAACAGCTTATCTGTTGCCTATTGTGTAAAGCAAAGTGTGCGATAGGGTTGTTTAAATGGCACTTAAAAAACTGCCCCGCCAAATCACTTTCTTCGAGAGAGGTTACCAAGAAAAATGCAAAAGGAAAATTCAGTGTTTCTGGTTTGGAGAAGCAGCAGGTGCGAGTCACAGCTCTGGTACTAAATCGAGAAGGCTCTGAGGAGAATGACGTCAACAGACTTGCCGGTATTATTTTTATGGAGACTCTCAAACCACCATGAACGGTACACTGTAATCAATTATTAAATGTGATCCAGGGTAGGGCAGTCTATGCTAACACAATTCAGATACGTTTTTCTCTCCAGCATTCTGTTATCAGTTATGTGATATATAGAGTAACAGTTAATAAGGATCAGTTTCTGCAACTCCATCCTGCAACCTACTTTTTTATTGTAAATAAACCAGATGAGGGGGAAAAAGGCAAAGGGAGAAAGTGCCATGTTTCAAGCCATTTGTCTCCGTATTTTAGCGACAAGCTTAATCTAATTAATTGTATTTGGCGCTGACTAGCTTGGCATAAGGTGTTAGCTTTCAGCTGCAAATGAGTAGCGCTTGACAAGGTGAGAAATCCTCCTTTGATTGTGAAATCATCCAAGATGCATTTCTAATCTCTTTTGAAAATGAAAGCCCTAGGACTACGTGATTAAAACAAAAACCAAAAACCCCAAATCCCCTCTTATACCTAACAGCTGAGCTCTGCAGTGGAGGACGATAGCCTGGTCACTACACATGGCAGAGAGAGTTGTCCCCACATACTCAACCTTCTTACCTTGTACTAGAAGTTTTAACCGGGCACATGGCTTTGGCCAGACAAAGACGACATTTCTGTTTCCCTTGCTTTGCTATCAAATTTTGGTTGGTGAGTTTGAGAGGAAATGATGTGTGTGCCCTCCAAGGAGCCGTGGCCTTAAAGGGAAAGGACATTCCAGCTACTTTCCCCTTTTCTCCTCTCTGGGGAGAGGTGTGAGGCTCTGGAACAGCCATCTTGAACATAAAAGGGAAGCCATGTGTTGAGTGGGGAGGAAGGAGCCTAGGTGTCTGATAATTATGGACCTACTCCTCTTGTGTTACCAATTTGTACTTTTACATGAGTGGGCAAGAAATATCTCTCGTTTAAGCCTCTATTGCTTTTGGATCTCTGTAACAGGCCTGGGCTTTTATCCCAATGAACGGACTGGACACTTGGAATCCAACACGTTATAATAATCTCATTCAATTTATGCATAGTTACAAGGAGAATGTCTGTGAATTTTTGGTAAATTTTATTTTCCTTCTGTCACATGTTGAAATGTTGGCTAGTAAACATATTCCTGGTGGCACCATAACCCTGTGCTGCTTTTGAAGATCTAATTTCCTCCCTCCCTCCCTCCCTCTCTCCCTCCCTTCCTTCCTTCCTTCCTTCCTTCCTTCCTTCCTTCCTTCCTTCCTTCCTTTTTTCCTTCCTTGAATGCTTTATCATCTCCACTGGACTACAAATTCCTTGACAAGAACAAGACATACATTCCGCGTTCTGTAGTTTTCTATCCCAAAGACTAACCACAGAGTTTTACACATTGAAACAGTCCTTGCTGAGCCTTTGTTCAAGAAATACTCAAAAGACCTGCACAGAGCTGCGTTAATTTTTAACATCACCATGCATTTAACCAAATTCCTGAAATGAACAATTTGAAAACAAGTGCCTAAATTGTATGTAAAATTTGATTTCTAAGTTTCCAGACAGACCTTGTTAATCACTAATGATAACAATACATTTAAAGAGACATTTCAGTAGAGTTTAAAATGATTCAGTAGCTCAAGAAAGAGCCTTGGGCACAACGAACAGTAATATGATATTAATAAGATGGAATTTGTAAATCTGTAAAGCAGCACCCAAAGCCCAATATTTATCCCCTTATTGATCATTTCTGGTAAAAATTAACTGAAGGTTGAGGGAGTCCAAGCCATAAAAGATGAAATATCCATGGAATGTGTTACAGGGAACAAAATTATTTATTCTGTAGTTTAGAAAATAAATTCGAAAAAAAAAAAGGCTTAAATTCCTCATTTTTCCTGAGTTGATACGAGTAGATTCTGGTTACTCACATATAATGTAAACTTTTTTACCAATGAGAGAATCGCTATAACCAGTTGTTGAGTCAAATTGTATTTTACCTTGTATATAATACATTGTGTGTATAATGCCTTTTGTCTTTACAACGCAGAAATAGGGACAATGTTAGCATTCCTAGACATTTTCTAAAAAAATTCCAGAAGTATATCTCTGTCAAAAAAAGGCAAAAGCTCCCTTGTATCGAAGAGGGTGGGCCCGGCTTGCAGGTGTTCCTTGCCAACCTACCTTAGGAGAAAACTGTACTGGGGGCCGGAAGACATTTTGTTTATTATCCTTTGATTTTGAGACCTGGAGAATATGTTTCCTGCGTTTTTGAAAGATATTTACAGTATCATCTCAAAGAATGAATTACTGTTTTTTCGCCGTGGAGCTGTCGATAAATCTGTCCCTTGGAATGAGGCATTGTGGGATGAGGAACATGGAATCAGGCTTTAAAGGCTCTTCAGATTCTGAACTGAAATGATATCACCAAAAAAAAAAAAAAAAAAAAAAAAAAAAAGCAGGGGGGAAGCATGTGAGGTGATGGATGTGTTAATTAACTCTGTGGGGGAATCCTTTCACAGTGTGTGCATCAAATCGTCATGTTGTATGCTTTAAATATCTCATAATTTTATTTGTCAGTTATACCTCAGTGAAGCTGGGGGTGGGGGAAAAAAAGCTTAGACTTCAGCCAAGGTTTCCAACATCTACTCATCCATGTGACTGGAGGCATGTCACTTTGTCTACGCTGGCTTCCATTTTCTCCCCTTTGCCATGGGAATGGTGCTAAACGTCCTGGTCTGTCTACCTCGTGACATCAGTCAGGCTAATAAGAGACAGTCTAGACCAAAATACACCTTGAACCAAAAAATGAATAAAAACCGACTTCCCAATTCTCCTGCTCTTTCAGTGTGATGGGGACATTCGATGTGTTATCTTTTTGTAGACGAGAACACTGTGGTGATTGACTTTCTGTAAGAATACAGCACAGGTTAGCAGCGAAGTCTTCTGAAGCGTGTGTAAGCAAATTCTGGAGCAGCCCGTAAAAGACAGAACTCTGTTTTCTCACATTCACGTGGAATTTTGATCCAGACGCGAAATGTAAATGAGGTTGGGAGGCAAACGCTGTGGAGAAAGAATTTTTTTGGTGTAACCAGAAGATGAACCCTAGACCA